ATATTCTGTAGTCTCAGCCCTTCGTTTGGGTATAAATCTTTACTGGATTGTCTCAGATTTTGTATATAAAAAAAAATCAAATGTAATAAAAAAATGCAGTTTTCTCATAAATTCCATTCATTCCTATGTGGGTCAAAATGACCCGCGAGGGACACGTTTGTTACTTTTTTTTAATTCACCGACATAAACTCTTTGAATCCACTCAATTTGTGTGGGTGTGTGTATTCCCGGTTTAAATGTGACAACAGTAACAAATTCTTGTAGGCTACCATAACGATCAACTGTCACGATGCGGTGGGGATGAAGCACATGGTGCCAGGGTAATCCAGAAGTGAGTCTTTAATTATCAAACCAAGAGTTAAACAGAAGAACATAGGAGTACTACACCACAATGTAACTTCAAAGCAAGACAAAGGAACTGAGGAAAACACAGGGTATATAAACACATGGAACGTGATTAGGCAAAACTGAAACAGGTGGAGAAATCAGTCAAGACAGGTGAACAGAATAAACGATTATTAACTAAATGAGGACAGGAACTGAACCAAATAGGGGCAAACAGGAACTAACACGTGACATCAACACACGATTTTTAAAAATTCTTTAAAAATCACTTACCCGAGGGACGGATGAGGTTTAATTAAATTAAATTGAATGCAATATATAAAATCAGGGCTCGAATTGAGGGGGATGCGGGGGGATCACATCCCCCCTGGTTGAAAAAAAAAAGACAAAAAACATCCCCTTGGTAAAACCACCATCCCCCCTACATCCCCTTTAGATTAATAATGTGTATTATGTAAAACTTATCATGCAAATGAAATGCTAAAATTCTCTACTTAGGCTATGATAATTCACAAACTAAATAGCGACGATTGGCTATTCATAACTCGGTACTGTAACAAACTGCTCACAAGCTGAAGCAAGTTTCCGTCATTTTTCGTGCAAAATGGTTCAAGCGCAACTTTTGAAGTTCTTTAAAAAGAAGACAACAGAAAAGGTATGATTTTTCCTTGATTATAATTTAAAGACATTCCCCGACAATATGTTATTGTGCTGTATGTGTGACGGATTGAGAGACGATAGTAGAGCTGACATTATCAAGTCACCGACTTTGCAAAAAACCCCCAAACAAAAACACGTATTGAGAGTCCAAAAGCATTCACTGCGCGATGAAGCCTGCTAGAATACAGTTAGAATGCCCTTATAATTCAAGCAATGAAAGAAAAAAAATACCCATGCATGACTTTTTACGTTTTTATATTCATTGCACATTAAGCAATGCACTTTCTGAATATCAGCACATGTGCGCGAGAACAAATGTGCTATTAATTTTATACAACAGTGCATAGCAACATGGTGTTTCGTTTCTAATTGAATCAGCCATTTTGAACGAATCGTTTGATTTGAATGATTCAATAAATCATTAATTAAAACATGGACTTGCTGCCACCTACTGGCGGTTTTATTGTCATCATTATTTATCCATGACAGGCCTAAAACAGACAAGGTACCAGCACAAAAACACATTTAGCTAAATATTGACCAAAATCCCTCCATTTCAGGCACCAGAAGGAAAAAAGCTTATAAATAATAGTTCATTTAATAAGGCTAATTTTTTCATTAAATAGTATGAGGAAAGTGAGTCGCTGGCTGAGGAGAGTCAGTGGTCCGCCGCGTGAGGAGAGTTGTGTATACAGATGCACCGCCGGCCTATCAGTGGTAAACTCAGTAGCTACTGGCAATTGTATAGTGAATTCACATGACAAGTCAGTAGCCCTATTTTTGGTCCTTCCGGCTCGCCATACCTGACAAGTTTTCCCAAAACTTTATCCATTAAGGAAAGATAGCAGCCTTGATCTCACGTAGCCTACGTAGTGTACGTCCAAATACTGCGCCAACCAATCCAGATAGCATGTAGTAATCGGCCAGAGCTCGGCCGCCCACCCTCGGCTCAGACTCGGCATCGGCGAGTGTTATCCGGGTCGAGTGTGGCCCGCAGCTCGCTCTCGCGCATGTTTGTCATGCGGCTGTAAAGCACTGGGCCGATTCCTGTTCACCATAACCTGCCCGGATCTGGCTTTAGAGTCCAGGCCACTTCTGGCAATGACTCGGCTCGGTTCAGTCATAGACGGTTACAATAATATAGCAATAATTATCATAAAATTGTTTTAAACTGACTTAATACCCTGACAGTATCTTACATTGTTAACTACATGTTTAATGTTGTGAATTTGTCAAAAACAAAATATCTGCGGTCAAACTTAAATAATAAAACAATGTTAAAAGTGCTTTATAGGACAGAACATTCTCTAATATCCATAACAATAGCAAATCTATTATGCAACGCAGCAGGTCATTCTTTTATACTCTTGTTTGTATGCATTTTAAACGCGCTTCATTGCGCACTAGGTGATTCATTCCAATAGTTAACTCGCGCAGCGTGGGCGGAGTCTCGTACCTGTGCACGTGAGTGCATGTTTGTGCGGTTTGGGTGCAAACAAAACAATGGATTATCATTATTTACCAAGAAATGTGGATGTATGGGGTCATTTCGATAAAGCAATACTGGTAAGCATCGTTGAGCATTTAATTTTGTATTATTTTACTAGCACAGACGCTCATAAGCTCGTAAAGGAACTTGCAAACAGTTAACCTCACGTGCGAGACTGCAGCGAACGCGGCTTTCTTGTTTTGCCCGAAAACGTAAGTTAATAAATAAAAATAGATCTTTTTAATCTTTGATCTAAGTATTGTTATGTGGGTCTAGAGTGTTTACGCTGCAGAAAACTTTGATGAGCAACACTACGATCCCCAAATAAACAGATGAGGAAGAGGAGGATGATGACGCTCCAACGTACAATGAGAAAGGTTTGTTTGAATTGTTAGTTTCCACATTCTTATTTGTATGCAATTGCAATAAGCAAACGTTGTTTTTGTTCCATATTACTTAAATGACGTGAGAGAAGATCGTTGTTTTCAACTAAACACGCTAATAATAATAAGCTAGTTTCAGTGATTTTAAGACGAGAAATGTACTGCAATCATATTAATATGCATCAGTATGCCTGAGATCATCTGCAATAGCTCTATCAAAGCATAGCTCAGTAGCTTAGTACATATAAGATACATAAATGTAGTTTAATTTGTCTGAGTACAAGGTTTTATTTTTTCAATTTTTTCAATTTTGCACCCTGTTTTGTCCCACTTCTCAAGAATGACTGAGTTGCTAAATGCAAGCGGACTGTACGTGTCATGTACAGATGTAACTGACTACAACACAAACACAGCATCACAGTTATCACTTTAGATGCTTCTTCACTCAGCATGTAGCGACGCACATGAATAAATGATTATTTCTCTTAATGTGCCGCAAATTTCTTTTAATATTTCTGTTTTGTAGTAATCAAGAGAAGTGGCATCGCTGAAGAAATGGCAGATGTCCTCAGACACCTGTGAACACTGAGCAGTGCTTGGAGTCCAAGACAGTGGACATCATCTTTATTATACCGGTACTTCTCTGACTGGACTAGCAAGGAGCAGAGCCAATGAGAAAGTTGGTAAGTTCAAGTAAATGTCAGCATGACCATTTCACCATGTTATTTTCTGCAGCAACTGGGGGAAATCCTAACTGAAGGGACCTACTATTCCCAAAACTTTATCCATTAAGCAAAGATAGCAGCCTTGATCTCACGCAGCCTACGTAGTGTATGTCCGAAGTCCTGCGTCAAACAACTGCAATTGAAATGGGAATGTAAACACACAGCTTTCCTCAGGTATTTAATAGGCTATAGTGGTTTGAATTTTTGCTGTCACAGACAGATAGATGATATAGAGTAGATGACAGATAGATAGAAAAACATTACCCCATTGCCCACAAGAGGGAAGTGTTTGCTCATCTTTTAGAGCAATGTGCTAGTAATGAATGAAAACACTATCAAACACTAGCAACACAGTTACACTATACACTAGAAACACAGTAAACTCTCACTCTCAGTGTGACACGTATAGGGCTACAATAGCCTACAAACTGAAATATATTTTGATTCTGACTTTACTGTTTGACAAATAGCTTAATATTTGTGCAATTAGTCCAAATTTAATTAATCTCTGAGTTCCTCACAAACATGAGACTGTCCATAGTCTACATGATGTGTGGGAGAAAGATCTAAGAATAAAAGCTGGCACTAATGATGCCCACTCACGCAGAGAAAAATCAATTAAAATTGAAAACAAAGGCACAATAATCATAATAACTTATCTCCTGCGTCCTGTTTTGCATATTGATATTGTACAGATGACAATAATTCGTTCAGTAATTTCATGGCTCACAGTTTCCCATTTTAATGAAGGCCGAAAAATGATCTCTGGAACCAACAAAACAGCTTCATATAAATACTTCCACTCTGTGTGATCAAACAAAAATATATTGTGTTATATTATTATTAACTCTAATGAATCTTCTCGCTTTACCTTATGTCTTGTAGGGAAATATTACTGTGTGCAGTATCTCTCGAGCCTGTTTACACGGTGGTGTTCAACAGAGCGTTCTCCACACAAACACACCATGATACTGTCAAGTGCTTCCTGTACACTGACACCTCCATGTCCTTGCAAGGCTGAACCATGTTATAATAAGATTCAGGGTTACATGGTGGCACAATGCTGTCAAACCCCTTCCAAATTCCACCTTAAAGACCTCGTGGTGTTCTGCTTTCCTGCAGATATGATCAAACTACAGCTACAAATAGAGAGCCCTACAGCAAAAGTGCACATGCTGTATTGTTCCAGCTATACAGATTGGTGGGGCTTGTTTATCAAAATCAAAGCGAATCAGGAGGAACAGGAGGAAAATAGCCACTCGTGCCTCCTTTTGCTGCTCTTTGGTTTTCTTCATTTGCTTTCATCCATCTTTAAGTCCATGTCATTTACAGCTACTCATTTTAAAGTGTAAATCGACAGAGCCTTGATGATTTGGAGATGCAATTTCAACTGTTCTCTCCTCTCTCCTGCTGTCACCCATGCGTTATTAGATGCTTTTCCCCTTTTGCCTTTCTCACTGTCTATCTCTGACAAATCTCTGTGCATCTGACCAAGAGCTACGGCCTCTGCACCCCAGCCTCTTTGCTTAAGATGTAAACGGTGAAGAGTAAATGGCTTTCACCATTCATTCTTCTAGTTATTCAGGCATATCCAATTCAGAAGTGTGCTTTATAAATAATTCTCTGCTATTGTGGCTTTTTCTCAGGTGACACTTCATGCCTTTACAGTGCATGTATACCACCTCTTTAGATGTATTGTATAGGTTTTGCTGTGTTTGATGTTTGAAGTTTCAAAGCCTTCCTTTTCTTTTTTTTTCCTGAGGTCCTTATCTCAAAGATCCAGCCCCTGCACCTTTGATAGATCTTGTTTGAAAAGCTGCTGCAAAATCTTGTTAGTCCTTGAATGTTCTTGTTAGATTTTTCTCTTTATTGCTTTTTGGCTGATTTTGGATTTTATTTATTTTTTAATTAACATGTATGGTTGATGCTGCATGTTTAATTGCACATGCTCACTTCCCTATTTTTACATTTAGATTTTAAGTGTACTTTTAAGTGAGCGTTAGATGACATCAAATGTAATCTTTAAAAATCTTATTCATTTAATAACACTATTAAATGTAATCACTAGCTAATCTAAAAATAAATAAAAATAAAACTTTTTTTAATGTATTATAATGTTGTGATACCTAAATTTGTTGAAAAATTTAAGGGGGTCTGAATACTTTCCGTACCCACTGTATATATAACCATGAACTTAGGACTGGTGCTTTTTTTTGGTCATTCAGTGTTCCTGTAAAAAAAAATAAAAAAAATAAAACAATAATACTGATAAGATATTATTAGTATTATTATTATACGAATTCTACTAATAAGAACAATATAAAGCGCACCAAGGATTAACGAGCTTCTGGATTCATGAATATTAATCAGGTTGTGTGCGTTCGCTCGAACTGATTTGCTGAAATCTAAACAGGGACGATAATAGGTGAGCACCAGCCAATGAGATTGTCGTTTGCGCATTACCAGAGTGAAGATTTAGTCGCATATGCGAGTGATTTACTCGCAATGTAGAGGGTTGAGTATGTGGAAAATGTGTTTTTTGAACCTTAAACCGCATAAACACATTTCATTACACCAAATACACAATATAATGTTCTTTTTAGCAACCTCATATGACCCCTTTAATACTTTTATTCAGCAAGGACTCATTAAATTGATCAAAGGTGACAGTAAAGACTAAAATAAAAAAATATTAAAAAAAAAGCTGTTTTACTGAACTTTCTATTAAAGAATGTAAACATGTATCATGGTTTCCACAAATAATATTAAGCAACACACCTGTTTGCAACATAGATAATGGGAAATGTTTTTTGACCACCAAATCAGTATATTAAAATGATTTCTGAAGGATTATGTGACACTGAAGTCAGAGTAGCAACGGCTGCTGAAAATTCAGGTTTGCCATCACAGGAATACCTAACATTAAACATGTATTAAAATAGAAAGTGTATTTATTTCAAATGGAAGTAATATTTCAAAATAATATAGTTTTTTTTAATCAAATAATTGCAGCCTTCCAAAAGCATAAAAAAGTTACTAACCCCAAACTTTTTAAAAAAAGTATTGTGTAAGAAAGTCTTAGAGTTTAAGTATAAGAAAGATAAAGAGAAATTTGATTCTCAGTGTGAAAAAAAAATGAAACAAAATAACACAGTAGCACAATGAATCATTAAAGAAGTATTACACTGAATTGTCTTTATCACAAACAGATAAACTGTTTTTAATGTACTAAGTTAAAGTACATGATCTCTACTTTGTGTCCCTCAAGTGAATACTATTCTTTGGCTGTTATTGCATTTTTCCAGTTAGTTGACAAGGGGGGTATAAATAATTCATGTTTCTCTGAGGAGATGAGAGTGTGTTATTGCTTTTTGTCTTGTTTTGTTTTTCAAATCCTCTCACACTACAGATATGTACAGATTGTATATTTGATGTCAGAAAGAAAGCTTATGGTTTTACAGGCTATTTTTGTATGCATTGCTTGTGAATATTGACAGAATCCACAGATCCACAATAAGCTAGATCAGGGGTGGCGAACTCCGGTCCTGGAGAGCCGCAGCCCTGCAGAGTTCAGCTCCAACCCTAATTAAAACTCACCTGCCTGTAACTTCCTAGTAACCCTTCAGACCTTGATTAGCTTGTCCAGGTGTGTTTGATTAGGGTTGAAGCAAAACTCTGCAGGGCTGCGGCTCTCCAGGACCGACGTTCGCCACCCCTGAGCTAGATCAATACTACATGACACTATGTGCTAGTTTGCTGATCATGTGACAGCTTTACATTTGTTCTTTATATAAGCTAATCTAACATCCATTTTATATGCATCTTCCTATATTGTCATGCTAAAATTAACAGCAGTGCAGTGAGAGTTCAGAGCTGACAATAATAGTCACCGTTTCATCCACAGGCATGTTTTTGTTTTTTATATTCTAAATCAAGAAGATGTCACCCATGGGAGGACCAAATATAAGACCAAATATAATCAAATGTGCATATACAGTATGTACGCCCTCTGACGATGATGTAAATAGAATCTGCTCTCGTGTTGTTATGTTACAGAGTCAACAAACACCAGGTGCTTTTGATGGACAGGGGATCCATCAGTGTTTGCCCAGCTTCCAGTGAATATTGGCGAAATTGGATTCGGAGTGACAATTGAAGAGGGAGCTGGGGGCCGGCAGTTGGGTCATTAATGACCTCTCCATAACAGGTGTCTCGCCTATCTGACAGAAAGGAGGAGGAGAAGGTACGGAATGTATTTACAGGTCTGTAGTGGAGAAACCACAGAGCACTTCTCAGGAGATGACACTGTCACTCAGTGTCATCCAAACTCATTTACTGTGTCATTTACTGTTGTCTCCAAGAGAGCCGAGACCGGGCTCCCAGTTGCGGTCAGGCTGGAAGATATCCTCAAACTGATAAGATGTGTCAGGATGATGTTTTATTTTGGGGTTTTAGGCACAGTGTGAAACCATGTCCATGTTGTCAAGGACTGAACTTTCTGGAGTTTGTGAAAAGCACAGCCTGCTTTCTCTTTTAGTTGTCATGTGATGTAGATAGAATTAGCGATGCACAGTGTATTAGTTTCATATTGGTTGTTGTCCAATTTGAATTTGAATTTTTTTTATACTGGATACATTGCCAGTAAGTTTTTTTTTATTTATTTATTTATTTTTATTCAGTAAAGGCATATTAAATTGATCAAAAGTGACAGAAATGTCATTTTTGATATTACAAAAGATTTATTTTTCAAATACTGAAAAAGAAATGTGTCATGGTTTCTACAAAAATATTAAGTATCATAACTGTTTTAATAAGAAATGTTTCTTGAGGACCAAATCAGCATATTGGAAGGGTTTCTGAAGGATCATGTGACACTGAAGACTGGAGTAAAGAAAATTCAACTTTGTCATCGCAGGAATAAATGACGTGTTAAAATATATTCAAATAAAAAAATTGTTATTTTAAATTGAAATAATATTTCACAATATTATTACCTTTGCCATCATCTAAAGCTCATATAAAGTTAATTAACTAAAAAACATAATTTATTAAGACTGTAATATTTAGGAATTCATAAACGGAATGTCCATTTTATATAGAATACATTATGTTCTGGTGCCTAAATGCACTTGTAGTTTGTATTTTAAATTTTTTTAGGCAAAATGGATTTTTAATATCAATTATTAATCAGTTATCTACCATAATATGAAAATAGTTATTAGCTTATTGGTATTGTCCAGAATTTTCGTATTGATGCATCCCTGACAATTTGTGTGCACTGAAAACTTATATTGCACTTGAGTGGAACATTCATTACACAAAATAATACTGAATATCAACCACAAGCCTGAACAAGAATCTACTTTCATATTTTATGTCTAGGGGAGTAGATTTCTTTTCAGAAGATTAATGTCAGTTAATGTAATCAGTCACATGCCCTTGCAAGTACGCTGTGTGCAATTTGTTGTTTTCTAGTGAGCACTAAAGCAATTTCAGCCATGCTGCTTTACTATGCTGCAGTAGTGAGTGTATTATGAGGCAGTGATCAGGAATGAAATGACAGAAATGATACCAGTCTGTTTTTCTGCAACTGCAGCCATTGCTATATAACGTGTAGCAAACAGAGATGGATGCTTTTCAATGGTAATGAAGCTCTGATGCTGGCTGAATTAAAAGCATTTTGAAGCATTTGATAGATGATGAAAGCCCTAGCCTGCAGCACTCGATTTGGATGGCCTCAGTGAATGCTTTTAAAAATGACTCCGGTGGAGAAACCGATCACTTTAGTCCTGCTCATGACAGCAAACACTGTAATTACACAGCACAAATGCACACAACATAATAAGCAGGATTTAAAACCTTTCCCATATGCGCTGCATTACGATAGCATTTAACATGATCTAAGAGTTTTGACTAGAAATAAAAATGCTGGTCCATCCATCCATCCATTGTTCTATCTGTGTATCATTCTATCTATCATTCTGTATCATTCTATTTGTCGTTTTATCCATCCATCCATCGTTCTATCTATGTACCGTTCTAACTGTATCATTCTGTCAAGCATTTTATCCGTCATTTTATCCATCCATCCATCATTCGACGATTCATGTATCGTTCTGTCTGTGTATCATTCTATTTATCATTCTTATCATGATATAGAATGATAAATAGAACAATACACAGATAAAACGATACATGGATCATCAAATGATGGGTGGATTGATGGATGGATAAAATGATGGATAAAACGATAGATAGTTTTATCTAGAATTCCATCCATCCATCCATCCAATTTTGAAAAACTTTCTAGTTATGAATTATTTGATTTTCAATTCATTTGAATTCTACTTCCATACATTTTAATTACAATTCTGTGTCATGCCTACCTCAATTCAAATGCAGGAATTGAACTGGAATTTAAAAGGCATTTTTAATTCTATTCAATATTAATATTAAAAACGCTGTCTCATATCCCAGACAGGGATAAGGAGAGATTTCAGGACTGTTCAGGAAACCTATTTGCAAACATAATTTTCATTTGGTGGCTCAGAAATTACACGCTGCAACTTTAAGTAATAAAGTGCTTTCAAAACTGAAGTATTCACTCAGCCTCTCTCAAGCTGTTGAGTTGTTTATGCATATCATAATGAAGAAGTCCTTCAAAATGTGTCTAAGAATAATGTGCTAGAACTGCCTTTTATCTAGAACACTTGCATTGCAGATTAGCACACACTTGCCTTTTTACTACATTGATTGAGTATTTAAAAAAGCCCTGGATTTGTAAAATAACTGCATCCTTTAGAAGATTAAAGAATGGATTTGCAGGCATCCCTGAAATACTGAGGCAAAAATTTAAGCTAAGCCATTAAAAAGCACCTGTTTGTGAGGAAAAATGAAATGTATATTTGAAAAGCCACTCAGAAATCAGACAGCTGCCCCAGTTTACACAACTTAAAGGGGTCATATGATGCGATTTTCAAGTTTTCCTTTCTCTTTGGAGTGTTA